AGCGGCTTTGGTGCAGCAGATGCTCCTGCTGCTGCTGCTGCTCCTCCTGCTCCTGCTGCTGTTGCTGCTGTTGCTGCTGCTCCTGCTGCTGTTGCTGCAGAGGGAGCAGCAGCCGGTGCTGCTGCAGCAGAAGGCATAAATCCTCCCGACGGGGAGGTGAGCCCGAATAGGGGTTTCTGTTGCTGCTGCTGCTGCTGCTGCTGTTGCTGCTGCTGCTGCTGCTGCTGCTGCTGCTGTGGCTGCGGTTGCTGCTGCAGCTTATCTTGCTGCTTGTTTTCCTCTTTCTGCTTCTGCTGCTCTTGCTGCTGNGCTGCGGTTGCTGCTGCAGCTTATCTTGCTGCTTGTTTTCCTCTTTCTGCTTCTGCTGCTCTTGCTGCTGTTGTAGTTGTTTCTGCCTTTGTTGTTCCTGCTGCTGTTGTAGCTGTTGCTGCTGCTGCTGCTGCTGCTGCTGCAGCAGCTGCTGCTGCTTCCGCTGCTGCTCCTCCTGCTGCTTGCGTCTTTGCTCTTCTTCTTTGAGCCTGCGTATCCTTTCTGCTTCTTGCTGCTGCAGCAGCCTTTCTCTTTCTTCTTTTTCTTTTCTTTCTTTCTCCAGTTGCTGCTGCAGCAGCTGCTGCTGCAGCAGCTGCTGCTGCAGCAGCTGCTGCTGCCTCAAGGCCTTTGTCTCCTCCACTGAGAGTGCTGGCTGCCCCAGCGACAGCAGCAGCTCATCAGCAGCAGGATCGAAGCAGATGAGGCGTCTTGCTGCAGCAGCAGCAGCAGCAGCAAACGTGCTGCCTCCGTAGCTGCGGCGTCTCTGTCTCTTCGCAGGAGACAGTTCGTTGCTGCTCACTCCTGCTGCTCCTGCTGCTGCTGCTGCTGCTGNCTCTGTCTCTTCGCAGGAGACAGTTCGTTGCTGCTCACTCCTGCTGCTCCTGCTGCTGCTGCTGCTGCTGCTGGTCCGTCGGGAGAAGCTGCTGCTGCTGCTGCTGCTGCTGCTGCTGCTGCTGCTGTTGCAGTTGCACAGACACCCGAATCTGCAGTGTCTCTGCGGCGCTTCCGGTTCGCCCCAGAAGACGGAGATGCAGCAGCAGCAGCAGCAGCAG